AAAAAAGATAGAATTCGGAAAAGTGCAGAAGGGTCTGGAACAGCTTCCATAGGAGGCGAGGTTAAAAAGATGGGGGCAGGTCATCTTAGAAAAGAGACGACTGAGGTGGGATGTGATAAAGGTCGATAAAATCAAGCATGACGTGGGGAAAGTGACTAGGGAATTGTTATTTACCCCTTCGCATGCCACAAGAACCAGGAGTCACCCATTGAAATGAATACTCCTCAGGTTTAAACGAACAGGAGGAAATATTTCTTCACATAAAGCACAGTGAGCCTGTTGAACTCATCGCCAGGGGATGTTGTGAAGGTCAAAAGTATCACTGAGTTCAGAGAGGAAAACAAGTTCCTGGAGGATAGGTCCATTGACAGCTATTAGCTGAGGTGGTCAGGGACACAGCCGCCTTCTTTGAGTGTCCCTAACCCTCTGACTGCCAGAAGCTGCGACTGGATGACAAGGGGGTGGATCACTTGCTGATTGCTCTGTTAATTCCCTCTGACACAGGATACTGGTCTAGATCAACCATTGGTCTGACCCAGTCTGGCTGTTCTTATGTATTCCTGGGAATGAACCCTGCTGCTGTCCTGGCCAAATTCCAACTGTTCTAATTAAATTCTGCCTCTTTAAATCCCTGCCTGCATGTTGCATTTTTCCTGTATTAAATTGTTGCCCTCAATCCACCCCAGCGGTGGCTGCATTCTGTTACGCCCCCATTCTCCAGGAGGGGACCTGCGTCATAGAGACTCAGTGATTTGCCGAAGAGTCTATGGCAGAAGTGGGAACCGAACGGCAGTCTCCTGAGTCCTAGGTTAATGCCTTAACCATTGCTCCACCCTTCCTCTCCTCCGTAGCCAGTGCTCAGAGTGGTATCTCTATCGGAAGCCCCGCAGCACAGTGGAAACATCTGGCTTGGACACACACAGTTCCTCGGCAGACAAAATAAACGCCGTGACCTATTTACTTTGCTAAGGGTTAAATTCCACCCGCAGTTAAAGCCATGTAACCTCTAACCCTGGATGTATATTTAGCAGCTTGTATATTAGAGGCTTCTCCATTTCCCTCCACCCTGCGCTCTGTTCCTCATTTTGCCTTTTCCTTATTTACCGAGAATACGATTTATTTATCCAGCATAGGGCCCTCCTGAGCCAGTGGATTGGAACCGCTGGAAGGATCACCCAGCGATCCAGCCCACAGACACATTCCCCAGCCCAGCCGCCCTGGGAGGCCAGCCAGGAACTTAGCACAAACATGTAATAAAAACGCATCTCCTTACGCAGTTGCTTTTATAAACGTGAGCATTTAAACAAATCCAGAGCTTAGGCTAAAAATATTTTAACAATAGGAAAATGCATAAATCTTTCCAGCAGCTAACTTACCAATCTGTGAAATTCTCCTTTCTGTCTGCTGGACTGGTGCTGCCTTAGCAAACCGGGGCTGGGCCGCACCGTGAGAGGTGGTCGGGCAGAGAAGAGGGACCCCAAGGGGGTAGATTATAGAGGGATTGATCCTGCAAGGTGCTGTGTGATTTCTGCAAGGCCAGTGAGATCTGAGGGCATTTGGTAACTCAAAGCATGCCTGGAAAAACCTCCTCCTAGAAGTGATTCTGCATCCTGGCCTTGTCTACACACTGAAGCTGAAGACCAGTGTAGCTAAACCGCTGCAAACCACTGTGTGGACGCTCTTATGTTGCTTTAAAACTGGCCTGTGTCGGTTTAACTTACATTGACGTTTACCAGTATGAAATGGGTTTAAATCGAATTAAGAGCATCCACACTGGGTTTTGCACCAGTTTAACTAAACTAAACTGACTTTTAAATGCAGCTCTAATAAATGGAGACAGGTTTGTGTGTGGAGCTGACTGAGGGCTGGGATTCTCTAAAGGAGCAGACGGTTTTGGACCCCTGAAATTTCTTGGCTTGTGGGCCCCCAGCACTCCTGTGAAAATGAAGCACCCTGAGGGGAGGGTGTATCACAGGCTCACCCATCGGGACCAGGCTGGTTAGTGGCTGAGTATGCAGCCCTCTGTGATCTAGGGGACTCTGGGAATGTAGCTGCTGTGGTTAAAGTGAATAATGGCACCTTTTGACTGGGCTGTAGAGACTGACCTCCGCATGCAAAGCTGGTTTGGATCTGGAGCTAAATTTAAAGGGGGTGTCAATGTTTGCACAATGGAGGCCTCATTGCTAACTGCAGCCATTGGGCGCTCTTCGAACACAAGACTGTAACAGTAAGAACTGGTTCTGCGCCAGCGGGGCCGTCTGAACCCAGATCCAGACTCCCCAAAGCAGGCCAGGAGCTAGAGTTCTGGTTCTCCCAACAATTCCCCCGTGGTGGCTGAAACAGTGACTTGGGCCAGGGCCACGCGTGTGAGGGTGATTGCTCTGGCTCATCTGTCCCCAGAGCCAGGCTGTGTTGTCTTTCTGTTGAATTTTGTGATTGCTTTCTGCTCTCAATGGCACGTCACTGGATTTAACCCCTGGGGCCGAGGAAACCAAACCCTGCTCTCGGTTTTGTTCTCAGGGGCTTAGCTGTTTTTATGTCCAGGCTCCCAGAGCCCTATGGTATTGGATTAATATTTTCTCCTCTTTGTGCGTCTCAAGTTACAGGAAAGGGAGCTGGGGTCCGTTCCCCTTTCACCAAGGCCTTCGCTTTGCTGTACACCCCAGCCTCTTGACATTTCAGGGTGGCAGCCTGCAAAGAACTTGGCTCCTCCTTTTCTGGAAAGCCCAGCTCCGTCGCATGCAACATGAGGGAGAGTCCCCCTTAGCCCTTTGCAGTGTGGGGTGAATGATAACCTGGAGGCAGTTCTGATTCTATCCAGCAGAAGGCAATGGCCAGTAATCCTTTGTCACCGGTAGCATCATAGGAGCCTAGTCTGCCTATTGTGGGAAGGGAGCACGCAAGCAAGCTAGAGGCAAGGCTAGGGTACAGCCCACAGGAGGGGTGGACTCTGGTGCCCTCCCTACCCCATAAAGCAGGGGCTGGGGTAGAGGAAAGGGCATGGGGACAGCCCGAGGAGGGTGGAGACACCAGGGCTGGGGACAGTCCAGAAGGGAGTGTGCAGCCTGTGGAAGACGGCTGCACGAGATCCTGGCATGGTGGGAGTCTCCTCCCCGCAATGGCAGAGGAGGGGCTCTGGGGTGTCTCGGGGGTTGGGCTCTCAGAGGAGCCAGGGCCCTGTTCCCTGTGTGACTTCAAAGGGGAGAGAAGGACTCACCCATTCACCCTGGGAAGTGAGAGGTGTGGGAGGCCACGTGCTCCAAGCTGACCTAGTTTTTCAGAATCCTCCATAACCCACAGCCCTAGTTCCCCTCCCACCTTTGCATGAACTCGCAGGGTTTCCACGGGGCTTTCCGACACCAGGCGATGAGCCCGGTGCTGCAGAATCCTCTCCCAGAGAGAAGGAACAGGGAATTCTGCACAGCTGGAGTTGCCCTCTGCGCGGCGGGTACTGAAAACACCACTTCAGTGCTGCCAGGCTAAAGCGAGTGCCAATGTTGATGACGGACTCTGTATGGGGTAGCACCTGTGGACCCCAGACTGGGCCGCTCTCCAGCTAGGCAGCGTACGCACATTTAACAGAAAAGATGGGCCTTGCTTCAGAGAGCTTCTCCAATGTGCTCTGTACCGTGATGGGCAGCATTAGCAAACCAAAAGCAACTAGAAGTGAGCCCAGGTTGGCAGAATATCCCAGTTGCATTTCAGAGGGGTGGGAAACTGGAAATTATCCCGGTTTTGCAAAATGTTCTAGGTGACTTTTTTTTAAGTTGGAGGGCAGTAAGTGTAAAGAGATCCCAGTTTTGCAAAATATTCTGGGTGTGTTTTATGGAAGGGGGGCAGTAAAACTGTGTGTGTGTGTGAGAGAGAGAGAGAGTGTGCAACCTTGGGGGAGCTTAAAAACTTGCTATGTGAAGATCAACCTGTTCAGGCCCCAATCCTGCACTAATGCACAGGCTTAAATTTAAGAAAGAGTAAATCCCTTTGAAGTTAATGGTCACATGCTTACTTTCAGCCTCTGCAGAAATGTTTGCAGGACCATAAACATTGAGTGAGATTTGCAATAAATGTTCATTCAAGGTATAGGAAGCACCCCACCTAAGAGTTAAAAAAATGAAGGCAGTTCTTAAAGAGAGCCGGTTTTCTATACCTGGAGGCAGCCCTAGAACTGTGTGTAAGTAATTTTGCAATCAAACAAGGCAAGTCTCGAATCCCCTCGCCTCCCTGCCTTTCTGTAGGGCACTTAGCGAGCAGGGACCCCCCCCCCCCGCACTGAACGTAAAGAAGAGCTTAATTTGTGCCAGGGCCCAGCTGCATCAGTTGTGAATGTAAAACGCTGGCGTGGGCCCGGCCCCTCTTTCCTTACACATTAAGCCCTGACCCAAAGTAGGGTGACCGGACGTCCGGATTTTATAGGGGCAGCCCCAATTTTTGGGTCTTTTTCTTATAGAGGCTCCTATTACCCCTCCCCCCGTCCCGATTTTTTACACTTCCTGTCTGGTCACCCATAACCCAAAGTAGCTTTTAAAAATACAGCCCTGGTGCCAGTTGGCCCGCGGGCTGCCTTTGTTTTGACAATTACCCCCCCCCACACACACACACACACACACACACAACTGTCCACTGAAATCTTTCCACCTGTGAGTCCCTGCCCCCTCCACCCCCCCCCCCTTTCTGTTTTTATTCCTCCTGGCGGCCCCCACTTTGGCTCTGTCTATTCCTGGCCCCGCGCCCCTCCCCCTCCCTGCCCAGGGGGTCTATTTTTAGCAAGGGGCAGCGCCGGGCTATTTATAGATCAAACAATTCTAAGGCCTGCGTCAATGGAACCCCGTGTGCGTCACCCGCCCAGACATTCCAGCCCGCCCCGCCGCCCCGCCCCGCGGGGACCGGAAAATTCCGCCCCTTCGCGCCTTGTATGGCCACGGCTGCAGCCGGCCTTGCGTCACAGGGTCCCCCCTCCTCGGGCCCCGCCCCCGGGCCGTGCGTCACAGAGGGCTTAAGAGGATCTCCCTGCGCAGGGCTGGCAGCCCCAGTGCCGCTCCGAGCCCGTCCAGCCGCCGGGCGCCTCCAGCGCAGCTCGCCGCCCGGGACCTGGGCAGAGGGGTCCCCTTGCAGCCGGGTAGGTGGATTACGCGGCCCCCGGGGCGCTCCGGGGAGCGGTTCCACCAGGTGGGGGTCACCTGGCGGGTGGGGAGCCGTGGGGCGGGCTGGGCTGGGGGGGGGTCACCTGGCAGGTGGGGAGCCGTGGGGCGGGCGGGCTGGGGGGGGGGGTCACCTGGCAGGTGGGGAGCCGTGGGGGGGCTGGGCTGGGCTGGGGGGGGGGGGTCACCTGGCAGGTGGGGAGCCGTGGGGCGGGCTGGGCTGGGCTGGGAGGGGGGGTTCACTTGGCAGGTGGGGAGCCGTGGGGCAGGCTGGGCTGGGGGGGGGGGTCACCTGGCAGGTGGGGAGCCGTGGGGCAGGCTGGGCTGGGGGGGGGTCACCTGGCAGGTGGGGAGCCGTGGGGCGGGGCGGGCTGGGCTGGGCTGGGCGGGGGGGGTCACCTGGCAGGTGGGGAGCCGTGGGGTGGGTGTTCCTGGATAGGCGGTGGAAAGGGGGGGCATGTTGCTCTCTTCTGTGCAAGGTGGGATGGAGGCCAGAGGCGCTGGGGGGGGGGGGCGCGTTCCTTTCCATCGAACTGGGCGCCTTTAAAGGCTGCATTGGCATTGTTGGGTTTTTTGGAGTGTAAAGTTGCAGGAACCCGACCTGGGAGTTGGGGCGGCGCTCGCAGGTGAGCGGGGTGTGTTTCCAGTGGTTTTCTGTTTCTAGTCTTGACTGACATTGTGCTGGGGGGATGGCGGCTGCAGGGACAGCGTCCGTGCTGCGGCTCTTTGCTATTTAAAAGCAGCTGTGTCCCTTTTATTTGGAGGGAGGTGGGGGGGGGGCCTTGAGTTGGCGGATCAGGTTTGATACTGTGTGTTACACTGAGGGACGGCTGTGTGCCAGGGCTGAGCGAGAAGTGACAGTGGGGCAGGATTGCTGTGGGCATATGGCAAAGTAACAGGAGCTTTCCACCGGCTCTTTAAAGCCCCTCTGCAAATTACCACCTTGCCTGAGTCCAGAGCTCTGTCCTCCTTTCCCTAGTCACCTTGGCAGGCTGGCGCTCGAGTTCCTTGTTTTGCTGTTTTAAATGCAGTGCTTAAAGTGTAAAGGGGGGTGCTGCAAGGGATTGCAGACCTGGCCCAATCAAGAGGGTTTTAAATGGAGCTGAGTCTCTGAGGGGCTCACTTTTAGCGTTGTGTTAGCAAAGCTGCTGCTCCCAGGTTAAGATAACCCCCCACACACACTTTTTTCAGGCTGTTTTAAATGTAATAAGTTGCAGCTAATTCTTCTACTGTCATTTGACACTGCAACATAAACACACACCTCTGAAATCCCCTGCCTTTAGCAAGGCATCCAGGAGGGTACTTTAATTCAGTGGTTCTCAGAACTGTAGGTCGGGACCCCATTTTAATGGGGTCGCCAAGGGCAGGCAGCCTTGCTGGGGCCAAGGGCTGACGGTCTGAGCCCCGCTGCTTGGGGCCAAAGCCCAAGGGCTTCAGCCCCTGGGGGGGGGGGCACTCGGGTTACAGGCTTTGGCTTTGCCCCCTCCCCCTGCCAAGAAAGGTGGGGCTCCTGTTTTGTCCCTGGCCCCTCTGCAGGGGCGGCAGAGCTCAGGCTTCCGTCTCCCCTCCTGCCCGAATAAATCTGTTCATCATTAAGGTGCCACCATACACCTCCTTGTTTTTGTGGATACAGACTAACACAGCTGCCCCCTGATACTTGGTCTCCTGGGGTTGTTGTAGCAATTTTTGCTGTCAGAAGGGGGTCATGGTGCAATGACGTTTGAGAACACCTGCTTTAATCAAATGATCAGTTAATTGGTTTTGCACATATTATTTTGTGTTGATGATTCTGGAGGCAAATGGGGACCCTCCTTTGACCTGTGTGCACAGCTGCTATAGAATGGCAAACTTTGAATGGACTTTCTGCTGCGTGGCTGGCCTAGCCTCTGAACAGAGCAGCTGTTTGGGTTTTTTTTTTTCTTTCTTTCCTAAATAAAAATAAAATCCCTCTGAATCTTGACATGCAAAACAACTTGGCACCAGCACGGTGCAGGGGAGCGAATCGGGAAAGGCCCCACCTTGCTCCCTTCTATATGGTTGCTGAGCCTGGATCCTGCTGCTGCGGGAGAATGCGGTTTCTGGACCCAAGCAACAGACGCAGCTTTACCTTCAGACACCTGGCAACCAGATTCACCAGCCAGGCTCCCTTCGTTTCTAACTCGCTGAAAGGCTGGCAAAGCCAATTTAGTGCCCCCCGGGGGGAGGGGAGGCGCTCTTGTGCTTTGGCTAAAGACCTGTGAACATGGTGCTGTCACGCCCGTGCAACAGTATCCGATCGCAGGGGGTAATGCATGTTTCTGGATACCACAGGGAGGAGCACCTTATAGACACTCCTATCAAAAATTAACAGGAGCCATTATCTGCAGCACCTCCCTGGGTCAGGCTACAGATTAGAATCCTAGTAGAGTAGTCTGAGAGAGGGGAACCGATTCCGCTCTCATTTACACTGCTGGAAATCCAGAGCGACTTCAGGCGTGTTGCTCCGCATGTCCGTCGGTGCAACCAAGTGCACATGTCCACAGTGGATGGTCCTTTTCGAAGTATGATCTGGCAGACTGCAGGGGGCTCATCTGAGGGATTTTTATATTGCTTTAAAACATCATAATCTAAGTATCCGTCTCTCTAAGGAGAATTTTAAAATGTGGGAGGAAAAATAAATTTGAATAACCAAGCAGCGCCTGCGAAATCCTGAGTAAGCTTTAATCGTCCAGAAAATCAACTGTTCCTGTTGACCATTCCCTTGCAAATTTTTAAAACACAAGCTGTGAAGGGGTAGGGTGACCAGATGTCCTGATTATATAGGGACAGTCCCAATATTTGGGGCTTTGTCTTACATAGGCACCTATTGCCCCCCACCCCCGTCCCAATTTTTCACGCTTGCTGCCTGGTCACCATATGAAGGGGGGAGAGAATATTGACAAACCTTGTGAGGAGGCTCGGTCGGGGCGGGCTGAGGTTATTTTGTCCTTGGTGGTGGTGATTTAAACTCAAAGCAATTTGCATTTAAAAAAACCCCAACATCATAAAGGCTCAGTGGTGTGTGGCGTTGTTGGGTTGCTATACCAACAATAAGCTAATGCAAATATTTCTGTTGATGTGACTACTGCGATGGCAGAGCGGAGGTGAGGAACAGGTGTAGACTGTAGTAAATAGTGTGTGTGGGGGGGTGTCCCTCTGCTGGTTAGAATTAGAATGACCCAACTGTGTGTCATACGCCCTATACTGACAACAGCTGATGGCTCAGGCAGCTGGAGCTTGGCTGTATGGAGCACAGGTGCCCTGAGTTTTCACTCTGTTGCCGCTCATGAGTTCTGAATGGATCTGTTTCACAGTGTCGTGACCGCTCTGGCAGGGTGCATAGCGTGTCTATATAATGTCTGTCATCCATAATGGTGGAAAATACTGGTCAGAACACTAGGACTAGAGGACAGCCATCTGTGTCCATTGTTACTGATTTGAGCACCCTGCGCGCCTGCATTCCCTGTGCTTTTAGCTGGCACAGCTCTTCTACCAAAGAGAGAGGGCAGCTGGGCTCTTTGCCCTCGGACACCAGGGCCAGATCCTGGTGCTGCTGTAAATCAACCTTGCAGAGACTTATTATTATTATTATCCCAATTCTTCATCTGGGGAAACCAGGACCAGAGAGTCCCAAGGGAGATGTGGGAGATAAACCTAGATCTCCTGAGTGCTAGGTCGGAGCCTGACCTGCCAGGCCAACCCTTCCTTGCAGCTAAGGGGACACCAGCCTGGGCCTCTGAGCAGAGAATGTCGTTAAACGGGAGCAAAGCCGTCTCTGTTGAGCTACGTGGGGCATGAGTTTGTGACTTGTGGCTGAGGACAGTGGCCCGCTGATGCTGTTAGCTGTATGTGGATCGATCTTTTTAAATAACCGGGCTAGGTCCTGAAGTCTGTTCTCAAAGCCAATGGGAGTTTTGCCTGAATAAGGAGCAGCTGGCCCCAGAAGAACGTTGTAACCTTGTTCTGATGGTGCAACCGTGTCAACGCTGCTGGGAATTCTTATGTCTCCACATTCCGCCGTCCTTTACAGGCCATTAAGGACTGCTTCTCGGCCAGTCAGAAGATGACCTTTAAAGGTCTGTGATATGAATTACATTATCATCTTGCTGCAAGGGTTACTTCTGTCTTGGCTTTCAGCTTGACCGGGGACTCTGGTTACGTCTCTCCTCTATATGGCCCTGTCTGCTGTTCCAGCCCTGCTACTCCCCAGGTTGAGAGTGGGAGGCCGGCATGTGTCGGAAAGGAAAGTGAACTGGCAAAGCGGCATGGGTCAGTTACTAGTTCTGCGCCACCAGTTCTCAAACACCTCCTCTCCCGCTGCAGATTCAGTGTGAGAACTAAGAGCAAGATGGCTCCTGGGGAGGTGGGGGTGGGGGGGCTGCATGGGTCCAGATGCAAAATGCTAAGTGCTCAGCAGCAATTTTCAGCCTTTCCTCCCGCCTGGGAAATGGCAGCTTGCTTGTGGGTGTGAAAGGGCCACGTGCAGAGTGGAAAGGGCAACCAAGCCTGTGGACCAGGAGATCGGGGCAGGGGCTGTGGCTGGGGGCATGCCAAGCCAACAGAGGTGTCTTTTGGTCACCCTGGGAGGGAGAGGGTGGTAACATGGAACCGGCCTGGTGGGGCACCGTGCCCTGAGCCCAGCATGCACTGAGCCAGCCTGCTGGTCCTTCTGCTGGCCAGCAGCTCTTTCAGGTGCCCGGAGACGGGCACAAAACTCTGCCCAGTGAGGGGAGCAGGTCAGTCGGGGGGCACTGGGATGGGCCTGGAAAATCAGGGGGATAGGTTTGCAGGGACTCTCCTGAGTGTGCCCTTGCCACGGTGTGGCAATGGGGCAGCTGGCAGGAAGGGCAGAATGGCCACACACCGACAGCCAGGCCCGCTGGGCTCTTGAACGAGTGCAGACACAGGACCTGCTGGGCTGGGGTGCCGGACGCCTGGGTATTCTACGGCGTGGCCCTGCGCAAGTCCCTTCCCCTCTCTGTCGGTCTTGTCTGCCTTAGGGGCAGGGCCTGGCTTTTGCTCTGTCTGTGCTGTGCCAGGACTCAGCTCATCTACTGCGAGCTATGTGTCTGGGAGGCACCGCTCTGCGTCCTCGTCCGCCATCCGATCGCAGCCCTGACGCTTTACAGAGCTGCCAGCTCAGCCCTGCTTGGCCTGTTCGAGTCAGAATGGCACAGAGAGGCATCCGAAGTCGCCTCGTTTGGTGCCGGTGGAAGTCGGCCGCTCCCTTTGCTGGCTGCCAGCGGGAGGGAATGCAGCAGAGATGCGCTCCGCTATGGAGTTTGGGAGGCAGGAGTGTCCGAAGAGCTCAGGCGAGCGGGTGCATAGGGCCTGGGGGGAACTTAGCTTCCTAACCAGGAGCCGGGTGATCCGGGAGTCTGGCCCGGGCTGTATGTTCGGCTCTTGAATTAGGATCAAAACTCTGCACCTGACATCCCACCCAGGTGGTTTGGCGCCCAATATTTTGGCCCAGCAAACCTTCCTCACCAAGCCCCTGGGGTGGCGAGGCAGGGCCAGCCCAGGGCCCGCTGGCAGTTCTGCGATTCCCTCCGTTTGTGGGGACAGCGTTTCAGGCGATGGCCTTTCTGCCCGATGAGGCCAGCTCAGAACAACCTTTCCTCGGATGATCACGAGGCCTCTGCTCCGCCATGTGACTTTGCCTTCAGACCCGTCTCCAACACTAGCCAGTTCTTTAGCTCGGCTCCAAACACCCTGAGTGCAGTGTTGACAGCCTCAATTTACGCTGCTCCATGGCTGCGAAGGAGCTGGCTGATGACAGGCCGGTGTGAGATACAAGCTTGTCAGAACAGCTTTGTCCTTGATTCCTTCTCACATACCAGGCTCACTGCTTCCTTTGGTGAATTCCTGTCCCCATTCACTTGTCGGGTTGCTGGGGCCAAGGTGGGGGTTGGCCTTACACCTCGGTTCCCGGAGCCGCCCAGGGGCTCGTGCAACGCCATTGACATGGGTGGAGTTAGTCCTGATTTACACCACTGAGACAGAGTCAAGCCCCCACCTTGGAGCTGATGCGTCTAGCAATGTAGACATCAGCAAGCGGGTGGATTTTGGTTGAGCTTGGTGAAATTTACCTCCGTGGGCTTTCACCCTGAAGCGCCTGGTTTTAGTGCGTATGGCTGTCCCCCGGGACCTGCAGTTCCCGAGTTCATGCAGCAGCAAGCCCCATGCCGTGCTCAGCCAAGGCACCAACTTCGGGGAGCAGAGGGGAGCTCAGCCTCCGTGGTCCAGCCATTCCTTGGCTTAGGGCCCCCCCAGAGGGAAGGGCAGGGGGACCAGTTCATGCCAATCGAGGATAGAATTTTTCTCCCCATTGTGATCTGGCCAGCCCAGAACTGCACTGATACTCGGCCAGCTCCTCTTGAGATCAGGGACGTTAGTTATTGTACAGCAAGTGCCACCCCTGTGGTTTTAGGCCTGTTGCTCTGTTATGCTGCAGATTACAGGAAGGACTGGGTAGGTGCTGGGGAGACAGGCCTTCCCCCAAAGACCTCACGGGGTAAACACAGGCGTGGGAGGGGAGATAACTTGCCCAAGGCAGTGGTTCTCAACCAGGGGTACGCGTACCCTTGAGGGTATGCAGAGGTCTTCCGGGGTACATCAACTCATCTAGGTATTTGCCTAGTTTTACAACAGGCTGCATAAAAAGCCCCAGCGAAGTTGGGACAAACTACGGTTTCATACCGTGACTTGTTTGTACGGCTCTGTAGACCGTACACTGAAATGTACGTACAGTGTTTATATTCCACTTGATTTATTTTATAATTCTGTGGTAAAAATGAGTGTCAGCCATTGTTCCATAACAGTGAGGCTGGGACACTTATGTATTTTTATGTCTGAGTTTGTAGGCAAGTCGTTTTTAAGTGAGGTGAAAATTGGGGGTACGCAAGACAAATCAGACTCCTGATAGGGGTACAGTAATCTGGAAAGGTTGAGAGCCACTGGCCCAAGGCATCTGAGCTGGAACTAGAAGACAGCTCTCCTGGTTCCTAGTCTGGTGCCTTATCCATGGATTGCTCTACCCCCCTGATCAAAGGCATTTCCCTGGAGCCCGTGGGAAAGGCTAGATCCCATCTCCCACATGGCACATGCTGCTCATCTGAGCTGCTGCCCCACACACATGCTCTGCCCGATGAATGGGGAGCCGTGGCCTGGTGAGGGGGTTTGATTCCAGCCCATTGTTAAGTCCTCTGCCTTTTCCTTTGCTCCCTTGCTCAGAGATGCCCTGTATCCAAATGCAGCATGGGACCTTGCCTCAAAGCGGAGGGCCCTGTGAGCGCTACCCGGCAGACTTCCTGACTCCAGAGCTCAGCAAGTTCACGATGGACCTAGTCAACACCGAGATCGCAGCCACGACCTCCCTGCCCAGCTTCAACACCTTCATGGATAACTACAGTGGGGAGTTCGACACGTTCTTGTACCAGATCCCAGCCTCCAGCCAACCCGCCTCCTTCAAACTCGAGGACTTCCAGGTGTATGGCTGCTACCCCGGCTCCTTCAGCAGCCAGCTGGATGAGACCATGTCTTCGAGCGGCTCGGACTATTACGGCAGCCCCTGCTCCATCCCGTCCCCGTCCACCCCAGGCTTCCAGACCCCACAGGTCCCAGCGTGGGAGAGCTCCTTCGGGCCCTACTCGCCCACTCAGAACTTTGAGGGCATGAGGCCCTGGGCGGAGCAGCCAAAAAGCAGTTCTTCCCAGCCAGCCTTCTTCTTCGGCCCCTCGGCTTCCAGCCCTGGGGTCCCCCAGAGCCCCCTCAAGGTGCCGCCGGCCGCCGAGGTCTTCGCGCTCTCCCAGAGCTCCCCGGTGGGCTTCTCTGGCCTGTCCCTGGGCCAGACCTCCCCACACCTGGAGAGCCCCGGCTTGATGGACGGCTCCCTGTCGCCAACCAAGACGCGCAGCCCTGGTGCCAACGAGGGGCGCTGTGCTGTGTGCGGAGACAATGCCTCCTGCCAGCATTACGGCGTCCGCACCTGCGAGGGCTGCAAGGGCTTTTTCAAGGTACGGGGCTGGGGGTGGGGACGTGGGGCTGGGGGAGACCCAGGGCAGTGCCTGGGAACCCACAGAGCCAACGGCCTCCCTCGCCAGCAGGCAGACCCAGAACCTCCCCACTTCGCCCGCAGCATGTGGCCGATCTTGCTCCCAGATGGGCCCCAGAATCCTTGGCAGCCAACGCTGGGGATTCTGGGATGTGGGTAGGGTCCCTGAGGGAGCCCCGATGGATGTGCCGAGTGAAGGAGTCTGTGGGTCTCCCCTTGGCCACTCTGCATGGGGCAAGCCCCGGTGCGCCCCTGACCGGGCTTGGCCTGTGTGCAGCTGTGGGCAATGACCCACTCGCCGGTGAGCAAGGGCTGGGCAGAGCCTGTGGGCAGCCTGTCGCCCCAGGCCAGCAGTTCAGAGGGTCAGGAGGTGGCCGGGAGCTGGGGCTGACCTGGGTGCTGCGGGCAGGGTGCAAGAGCTAGTGGAGACGAGACTCTGGCGCCTCTCCTCACCACGGCATCTGAGCCGTGGGGATGCGGGGGCGGCAGAGTGTCGTGCAGAGCGCCATTGCCAAGGCCCCCGTTACGTGGAGCACGGGCCTTTGTGCGCAGCCCCAGGGGCCGGGCCCAGAACCACCAGCCACGTGGGAAGATCTTGGTGGCTCTGGCGGTTTCCCTCCCTTTTCCCCTTGGGCCCTGATTCGGCCAGTTAAGCACGTGCTGGCGGGGGGTGGAGTGAAGCCTGGGTGGAGCTTGCTGAATCGGGACCCATGTGCGTAGGGAGCGGGGCCGGGGGATGAGCCCCGTGGCCCAGGGTCTCCAAAGCAGCTAGTGACTCTGGCCCAGAGCCAGGCACCTCAGGGAGGCCTTGGGTTGTGCTGAGACCCAGGCCCCTTTGGGGAGCAGCTGCAGAGCCTGTGTCGGGCAGCGCCAGCTCTGAGGGGGGAGAAGCCGTGTCTGGTGTGGGGAGGGTGGCGCCGAGGCCCGGGGTTGGGGGCAGGACAGGGGAATCGGGGCCCGGAGGGGGCGACCGCTCAGCCCAAGAGCAGGCGGTTGAGTCTCCCCCGATCCCTGCCTGCAGATGGGAGCGTGCAGGTGTGCTGGCAGTCCGGGCGCCCCGCCGGGAGAGCGACGTGTCCCCCTCCCCCTCGCGTGTCCTGGGAACACGGCCCCTCGGATGTGAAACTGGGCGCCGTGGGGCGGGGCCGCTGCTATAAAAATACCAGGAGGACAGAAGAGCTTTTGTTCCATCCGGGCCCGGCCCTGGGCACCCGGGATCTCGTGCTCCCTCTTCGCCGGAGGCTGATGCGCTCCCTTGTTTCTCCTGCTCCCTGCAGCGCACGGTGCAGAAGAACGCCAAGTACATCTGCCTGGCCAACAAAGACTGCCCTGTGGACAAGAGGCGGCGGAACCGGTGCCAGTTCTGTCGTTTCCAGAAGTGCCTCGCCGTGGGCATGGTCAAAGAAGGTACAGAGCTCGACACGTGGTGTCCCCCTGCCAGGCTGGCAAATCCCGGGGCGGGGACGCCGGCAGCGCAGGCCGGAGAGCACCAGCCCAGCAGCCCCCAGAACAAGTCCCGTGTGTTCCTGGCAGCTGAGCCCTGCTTTCGGCACCGCTCCCTGCTATCCCCGCCCCAGCTCTGCGGCGGCCCAGTTCCCGCTGCCAGTACACCAGGCTGCTCCCTGGTCCCCGGGTGTGTTGACCTGCACTCCTCCAGGCCCAGTCTCGTGCTGCTGCTTTCTGGCAGCTCCCACCAGGTAGCATCCCTCACAAATGCTCGCTTGCTGTTCCGTGGCTGTGATTCCAGGCTGGATCCAGAACAGGGTGGGCTGGGGGGGGGGAGGACGTGGCTGGAATCTCGCAAGGAACACGGGAGCTGTTCTTGCCAGACTTGGACCCAAGTTCGTGCACACATCCCCAGAACCATCCAATCTCCCCACGTTGCCCAACGTTCTGGGGCCGAAATGTTGTGATTTCCCCAGCCCTGCCCCCAGCTCCCGTGTGCGCCTGCAGCCAGTCCCCAGCCGTGTGCGTGGATCTGTTTGTTCATGCCGTTCCCCTGTGCTGGGATGTGGAGCTGCTCCCACCCCACTGAGTCCCTTCCCCACCCCAGTGTCCCATTTGCTGTGAAAGCTGCTCGCTCGGATCTGGCGGCAGTTAGGTAGCATTGCTTTAGCCAGTGCTTGATGTGCTGGGGCAACTTATCTGTGGGGCCAGGGGGCTGCTCAGAGCCATGACGGGCTGCCCATTGCAAAGGGCCAAGCCCCGCGCTCAGATGGTAACGTCCAGCCCCCTTTTCTCTCTCCCCAGTGGTCCGAACAGACAGCCTGAAGGGGCGCAGAGGTCGGCTCCCGTCCAAACCCAAGCAGGCCCAGGACACCTCCCCCGTCAGCCTCATCACGTCGCTCGTCAGGGCACACATCGATTCCGTACCCAGCGCCACCAAGCTGGACTATTCCAAGGTACCTGCTGCTCACAACCGGGGGTTCAGGGTCCTGGGGCTCCTGGAGCAAGGGGGCCCCCGAGGCCTGGCTCCCAGCCACCCCCCAGCCCTGGCTGAGATGCTGGGCGCGGCAGCCACTGCCTGGGAAGGGAACCATATGCAGCCCACGTGCTCAGTGGCATTTGGGGGGGCGTAGCCCTAGGGCCTGCGGGCAGTTAGAGAAGGGGTCCTGGAGCCCTCGCCATCTACAAAAGGCTGCAAGCTCCGGCGCTGTACGAATGCGGCAGCATTGTCTGCTGGCTAGTGTGCGGGGCACACGAGGTTCTCTTCCCAGCTCTGGGAAGGCAGTGTTATCCAGTGGTTACAGAGCTAAGAGGCAGGACTCCTGGGTTCATTCCCCAGCCCTAGGAAGGGGGAGTGAGTTGGAGCAGAGAACCAAGAGGCAGGATTCGGAGGTTCTGTTCCAGGCTCCTGTCTGTGCCTGGCTTCTCCCAGGGGGCCAGCCGGGCCCTGCCTCGTTACGGGGCTTCCTGTGGCTTGGGAGGTGTCTCAGGCTCTCAGAGAAAAGCAGGTGTCGAAGTGCTCACAGGGCAGTGTGTGCTGACCACACACTCAGGCTTACCTGACCCAGGCAGCTTCCCCCAGGCATGCACTGTATTTAGCGCCTAGTCCTGGGTTCTCTTTTGGGCGGTTGTGTTGTCTAGTCGCTAAAGGGGGCTGAGAGTCAGGACTCCTGGGTTCTCTGCCCCGCATTCTGCACCCAGGTGGATTGGTCTGCACAACCGAATCCCACCAACCTTGTTTCTGAGCCTGTCGTTGAATGTATCCAGCAGCTGGAGCTTTGGGTTCTGACCTCGGCAGCGAAATGCCAGCTGGCCTGGAGGCTCAGGGACCAATCCAGCTCCTTTCATCCAGGGAGCTCTGTGACCTTCAGAAACAGGAAACAATTAACCCACCCAATGCCCCAGCAAGTTAGGGGCTATCCCCATTTTACTTGGGGGAAACCAAGGCACAGCAGTGCAACCAATTGCCCAAAGTCACAGAGTAAGCCAGTAGCAGAGAACCCAGGAGTCCTGACTCCCAGCCCCCCTCCCTTTAACCACTAGGCACACTCCTTCCTGCAGCCCAAACGAGAACCCAGGAGTCCTGTTGCTGGTGCTAGGCAGCAGAAAACGCCCAGGCCCAGATGGGTGCGGGTTCCTGTCTCTCTGCTGCTCATTCGTTAACACGGAGGGTGTACAATGGCTTTGAGAGACACAGCCCCGGCCACTCTCATGGGACTTGTACTGTGTGGACCGAGGCCCGGCCTGTGGGACGCTAACCCTGCCCCTCCTCGTGTGCTCGGCAGTTCCAGGAGAGCCTCTCCTACCAGTTCGAGAAGGAGGACTGTGTGGATGTGCAGCAGTTCTACGACCTGCTCACAGGCTCCATGGACGTGATCCGCAAGTGGGCTGAGAAGATCCAAGGGTTCCAGGAGCTCCCCAAGGAGGATCAGGACCTGCTCCTGGAATCTGCGTTCCTGGAGCTCTTTATTCTCCGGCTGGCCTACAGGTAACTCCCGCTCTGCTTCGTGACCCACCCAGCCCCGTCCAGAGCCAGGCGGCTGCTGGACACCGAGATGAGACACGGGGTGGTGATGTGGCAGCCTGGGTCAGTGGGCTAGGGCACGGAGATCAGGACCTTGGGCAAAACCATCTGCTGTTAGCGTTTCAAAGGAAGCTGTGGCTCGGGTCATCCCCTCCACTCAGACAGCCCAGCTCCATTTGTCCTGTGGTGCCAGAGTGTATGAACGTCAGACCTGCAGCGTAGGGCCCCGAGCGCCTGGCTAACCAGGTCGGGATCCTGGCTGTCATCACCAGTGCTCCGTTCTGCTCATGCTCCCTCTGTTACAACTCTGGTTTCTGCTCTGACCCCACTCTGCTGCCAGCAGAGCCCTGGCCTGCCCTCCGTTCTCTCCTGACCGCGTGCGGCTCTGCCCTGTCCCTTGCAGGTCGAAGCCGGAGGAAGGCAAGCTGATCTTTTGCAACGGGGTGGTGCTTCACCGCATGCAGTGTGTGCGAGGCTTCGGGGAGTGGATCGACTCCATCCTCGAGTTCTCCCAGAGCCTGCACCGCATGAGCATCGACGTCCCCTCCTTCTCCTGCCTCGCGGCTCTCGTCATCATCACAGGTGGGGCGGTTTGCACCTTCCTGCCGCGCGGCTGCTGGGGGAGGGATGGGCAGGTCTGGCCACTGGACTGGGAGCCAGAGGGTCTGATCCTGGCCCGGACACCGGCTCCCTCTGTGGCATTGGGCCGGGGGGTTATTGCACTGCACACGCAGGTGGGGGCGGTAATGTTCGGAGAGCCTTCTGCGAGCTGTGACCAGAGTCTCCGCGGAGCAGCGGGTTTGTGCTGTGGGAGAAGGCTCAGGAACCCTACGTGAGCCGGTTTCCTCCAGCCACTGGCTTCCTCCAGCTCTCCGCTCCCCAACTCTGCTCCTCCAGGGGCGGAAGTCGCTCTGACCATTACTAACATTCAGGAGTGACTCCTGATTTCGGCACAGTATGAGATTCCTTAGAGGGGCCTGATTTCCAGAATGTGCTGAGCACCCCCCTCTGAGAACCAGGCCCCAGGAAGATCTCGGGCTGGGGGAGCACCCCAAATCTCTAGGCAGGCCTGGACAGTTAGGCCTGTTTGGATCCCAGCAGCCCCAGAGGCTGCAGGCGGGGGCTGAGGCTCTGTCAGGATCTCCTTGTCTCTTTACACCAGGCGTCCAGCAGACCACAACCCGGCTCAATCAGCAAGGCATACTGGGGCCCTGGAGCCTGTATATACTCCTGCCCTTTTCCCAGCATGCCTTGCCATAGCCTCCAATTCCCAGGGACCGCTGAGAACGGCAGTTCCCAGAGTGCCGTGCTGCTCAAGGGGGGTTTTGTGTTAAAGGGTGCAGAGCGCAGAGATTGCCCACTCTTCGGGGTGGATGAGACAGGCCAGGGACTGGGGGGCCGTTCAGGAGAAGGCAGCAGGAGCACGAGCCTGCTTTGCCATGGCCCAGCCGTGCACGCCGCCCCCGGGTGCTGGGATCTAGCCCGGGCCGGGAGTGACCGCTCCTCCCCTCCTTTCCAGACCGCCACGGGCTGAAGGACCCCAAGAGAGTGGAGGATCTCCAGAACCAAATCGTCAGCTGCCTGAAGGAGCACGTGACGTCCGCCGCGAGCGAGCAGGCCCGCCCCAGCTGCCTGTCCAAGCTGCTGGGCAAGCTGCCGGAGCTGCGGACGCTCTGCACGCAAGGCCTGCAGCGCATCTTCTACCTGAAGCTGGAAGACCTGGTGCCGCCGCCTCCCATCGTGGACAAAATCTTTATGGACACGTTGCCCTTCTGAGGGGGGTGCGGCCCCCCCGGACCCGGAGGCCCCCGCCGCGGGGAGCCCGCTCGCTTTGTGAAAGGGGCGTTTTGACGGACACGTCTCCCCGTGCGCGGAGGGGGAGGGGGGCGATCGACGGAGCATTTCCAGAGACCGGGTGGGGGGCGAGCCCCACTGCCACCTGGGATCGCGGGGACGCGTCGGAAGTGGGCAGAGCCCTCCTCGCCTCCTGGTGGCTGACCCGCACTCGTCCTCCGCGTCCCGCGCTGTGTACCCCACCCATGGATCGCGACGTAGCTCTCTGCGGAGAACCCCAATGTGCCTTTTGGGTGATGCACTCAGACGCCCAATATCCATGTGCCCACAGCCCCCCACCCAGCCCCGGCTCGCTCCTCACCGCTTGCAACGGCTGGCGCTTCACCACGCTGGGTAGGAGGAGCTGGCCCTGAGACATGCGCAGGGGTGGGTTTGTTCTGAGTGCCCTGCCCTGCCCTGCCCGCCTGCTGCATCCTGCAGCCAGGCAGGCATCGTGCCAGGAGCAGGCTCCTCCGTCCCCAGCTGCCGGAACCAAGCCGTTTCCAGACCCTCCCAGCGGCTTCTTGCCTCACTTGTGCTTTTGCAGCGGTGCCCAGGGAGCGATGGACACGTGCCGTGGGCGTGGCACACGGGATGCTTCACGCCTGTCCGCTGCAGATACGTCTTTGTAAAAAGACAAGCTGTAAATGGATGGGGTTTAAACTTTGTAAATACAGCTAAGAACTGCAGAGGCAGCGAGAGACGAGAAGGGGCGCTGGGAGGGAGACACCTATTTTGTTCTATCTGCTGACAACCACGTGGCTTTCTGTGCCTGGGAGGGCTTCCTCTCCCGTTTTGGACTTTTCCTGTATATAAACTTGTACGTAAAACAAAAAATCAACATTTATATTTGTGTATTTTTTCGGGATTTACCATATGTGACTTTTTTCTGATTAATATATATTTAATATATTGAAATAAAAAACATCCAGGTAGCCATACCTCTCTCCCACTTGTGCCGTACTGCTGCGGCTGGCAGTGGGGATCGCGCAGAGCTGCTGGCTGGTTTGGGGCTGCGGCCCCCTTGCACTGGGCCCCGTATGAACAGAATTCATGAGACCAAACGTTGGGATACAGAACCTCCTGCTTCAGGGTGGAAGCTGGTCTCTCTTCGGGAGCGGGATGAGGCTTTGCAGGGGGCAGATGGATCGCATGTCTGCCAGCTGGGGGTGTCCTGCCCCTTTCCCTGCGGTTGCTGTCGGAGATGAGACATTGGCTGGACCTTGGGCGCTGACCCAGATAGTCTGAAGTGTCCCCAGATCCTGTTCTCGGGGACACAGCAGGACTGGTGGCATCTGGCCCGTGTTCTAAAACAACTTCTTATAGGCTGGAGGATGTCCTGGCTGCTCTGGCAGCTGACAAGCCGAGGTTTACGTCCAGCCCTGGCCTGAACAGTGTCTCCTGCTGGATGGCCCTGGTGAGCTCTTGGCAGGAGCTGGGAGCCCCAGACCAGTGCTGAGCTCCTGGCTGCTGCTGGCGATTGGCGGGCAGCACCGTCTCCGGCTGGTGGGGTGGGCCTGACGAAGTGGCGACACATGCTGCCCTGGCTGGCAGCCTGGTGAAGTCGCAGTCACTCCTTTCACATCCCCCTGGTGTGTAAATTCGGGGGGGGCCTGGGCTGCTCTCTAAGGGGATTGATCCCTGGAGACCGACTCCCGCTGCATGGGCCTGTCCTGCCCCAGGAGAGCCCTGCCCATGTGCCTCAAACCTCCCCTGCTGGGGCCAGCTTGATGTTTAATCCCCACAGCCCTTTGGGTCCAAGACCAGCCGGCAGTGGGGCTAGCTGGGCCGAGAACCCTCGTGACTCATTCCACCCACAGCAATGACGAGCGACCTGGCTTGGGTTTGAACTGGCTTCCTGGCCCATCAACTGAGCTGCCGAACCCAGGGCAAGCCCAGCCTGCAGATCAGCTGGCTCCTACGCTGTCCACCTGCTTGGGCTCGTGACGCATGAGTGAATGTGCGCCCGTAGCCTGCAGCCTCTGGTGAGCAGCACCAGCGTTCGCAGCGCTGAATGGCGGTGGCCTGGCACCAGAGCAGGAGATGAATCATTGACACAAAAATAAAAGTAACACAGAGCCGCATGTACCCACACTGGGAGCCATGCAAGGCCTCTCGGCGGGGCCCCGGCTCAGCGCTGCTTTTGGGCAGAGGTTCCCATGCAATCCTGCACTGTCTGTAACAACCGCCTGCCCTGCCGAGGGGCTCCGATTTCAGCTCAGGCCGGGCCGTAGGAACAACTTAGACAGTGGGATTTGCACGTTGAGCCCATGTGGAAACTCTGATGTCCTTGGACGGTAACTAATATCCCCCAGGCGGCTGCAGCCGGCTCGGCACCTGTCTCGCTGTTGATTTGTTCTCCCTGAAATAGCCTGGGGATCGAGATCTCCCCCCCCCCCCCGACTCCTCGCTCCAGCTGCAATGATTCCCCCTCTGGCAGGGATTCAGGCTCCTGTTGGCCTTTGAACGGCTGCCCAGAGGCGGGTGTTGAAGTGCCAGGCTGCAGCGGGGGGGCGTGCACAGATCTAACTGGCTGGCTCTGTCCCTGGAGTGGCCTGAGGAGCTGGGGAACTTGAGCAGGCGCGGCCGAGCGAACACCTGTGGGCACGCACCGGTCCGGCTGCTTTGGCCTACCCCACCCAGAGCAGGATGCGCTGAGCTCCCCCCCAAATTAATTGTGGGTGCCCAACAGAGACCACTGGGCCAGGGCTGCAGAAGTGCAGAGCCCTCCCCAGCTCCAAATGAAGGCACTGGCCTAGAAATTGGGGCTCAGGCTGGGGGTCCAGAGTGAGCAGCCCCCTGGGACTGTCAGCCCAGCCCCTCCTCCACCTTCTCATTTGTGGTGACGAATTGCCAGGGCGGGACATCACGGTGTATCTATCAAAGCAGCCAGGCTCAGCATGGGTCATGCTGCACTCGTTTGAGCTGCAATCTGGGTGTAATGCACCATCCTGTGGGCGCCCCAGGGGGGAGAACCCTGCCCAGCAGCTGGGTGCGTGGCTGGGCCTTGGCTCCTCTGGCGCGCTTGGCTGGGGCTTGGTGCGTGCGGCTGCGTTACCTTCCCACGGCACATCTAGGGTCATGCAGAGAGGGTTTCTGACGCTGTAGGTGTGGCCGCCCACCCGCTCTCTGCCCTCAAGGTGCTGTGTGGCTGTTGAGCAGCTGGAATGTTCCACCCCAGACGGGGCTGCATTTCAGCACTGAGTGAGCAGTTCCCTTGGGGTGTTGCTGTGGGATGGCTAAAGAGCGGCCATGTCCCACCCCAGAGGTGACGTCTCACAGTGCCACGATTCCCCTCCCCCTCCCCCCCCGCCCCTTTACAAAGCTGTCTGGGAGCCTGCGGACTGAAGAGTGCTGGACTGGCAGCCCTGCGTCACTCATGGCACGGCAGCGAGCCTGGGAATAATGGCCTCCTTTGATGCGGTGAGGCCTGCGATCACGGCCTGAGGCATCCCGCTGCTTGGGGCCGGCTGGGGAGCTTCGTGGGCATGGAATTTTCCATCTGAATCCCGGGCTGCTGCCTTGGACCGGGCCAAACGGTCCATGGACAGTAACTCCATTGAGGCTCTTGCAGAACAGAGCTGGGGGAGGAATAAACCAGCCGCCCCCAACCCAGCATGTGTGAGCAGTGATGAAGCCCTCCGTCGCCTGCCCTGGGTGAGGGGGCGTGGCAGAGGGGCACTGCTGATCCGGGGCCCAGGGAGCTGTTCCAGGGAAGCAGGCAGAGAGGAAAGCGAGCAGGGTGCTGGCTTTAGAAGTGGTTTAACAGGAAGAGCAGCTGCCTACGCAGTCAGGACACCTGGGTTCTCAGCTGTGAGCTGGGAAAGCCGCATGGCTGGTAACAGAGCAAGGTGGCTAGGAGTCAGCACTCGGGGGTCTAGTGGGTTAGAGCAGGGGGCTGGGAGCCAGCCAGGACCCTGGCTTCTATTTCTAACTTTACAATAGATTTTCATTGTGACCTTGGTCAAGTCTCTCTGCCTCCATTTCCCCGCTGAGCGGTGGTTGGTTGTCCCCCCTCTGCCTCCCAGGCTGAAACGGCAGCTACTCATGGAGGTCGCTGGGTGAAAGCCAGGCAGCCGTGAACAGAGACCAAATGCTGACAAGCTGCCTCCCGGGCCGTCCCTGAGCTGGGGGGTGAAGAGGCTGCTGCGTCAGGGTGATGATGAAAGTGGAGATGTGACGTGCCCGCCCAGCCCCCCGCGTGATCTGTCCATACTGCACTGGGGTGGACGCCGGACTCTTAGGAGAATGCCCCAGGGCTAGCCTGCCCAGACGTCTGCTCCCCGCCCTCCTGGGGGAAGGGTCTTGGGGGGGTGTCACCGCTGCCAGGCCAGCACAAAGAATTCCAAAATGGAGCAATGGCGTTTTGCACCTTTCCCGTGGAGATCTCCAAGCACAAGCCAAATCCAGCTCTCGACTGCGCCAGGGTAAAGCCAGAGTGACTCCACGGGCTGCAGGGGAGTTCCTGCAGCTCTACACCACCTTCCTGGGAGCCGCATCTGGCCCCTGACACGGAAGTGTCCCAGCACTCCTCCGGCCGGGGGATTGTTAGAAACACGTTTTTATGCACCGTTCCAAGAGCATTTTGAAAAGGGGCCCGTTGGAAGCTCTATGGGACAGGGACTATCGTGTTCTGTGTTCGTGCAGCACCAAGCACCAGTGTCTCCTAGGTGCTACCATGCTACACCAAGTAAGTCATGTACAGCACCTAGCACAGAGGGGGCCTGGGACCGATGGGGCCTGGACGTGACTGATTATCACCATTCTACAGATGGGGAGATGGACACATAGAGACGGGAAGGCACTATGGTCACATCGCAAGTCCATGGCAGAGCTGGGGATGGAACCCAGGAGTCCTGCTTTCCAGGCCTGTGCCCCATTTGCTGGACTGTGCAGACGAATAAGCTCACTGAGGGTTACATTCTGATCTCTGCTACGCCAGCGTCAATGCGGAGTGACTCCTTCAGACTCAGTGCGGTTGCTCTGATTTTACAGCAATCAGTCTGGGACAGAGAGATGACGTGAATCCCATAAGGTTATGCAGCAAAAGCAGGAGTCGAACCCAGGAGTCCTGGCTGCCAGAGCACGGATCGAACCACTCAGCAGCAGCAGCCCTGCCTCACGGGGAAAACCCGCGAGGGGAACTCCTCTCAGCAGCGCGAACCCGTGTTCCAAAACCATAACCCTTAAAAACTAACGAATGAATTCATCTGGGGTCTGGTCATTTCCCTGCTGGGTTCTGAGCCCCAGGAATAACGTTTTCAAGATTTTCTTTGCAGCCACGCAGGCGAGAAACCTTCTCTCTTTAGGAATGAGAGCTCAGACACTCACCTAATCCTCTGACTCCGGGAAGTGGGGCCTGAAGGAAAACAGGCAATATTGCCAGGCGCACAGTGAAAGGCCACGGTTGGCAATGCTGTCCTCTAACCTGGAGCAGAGCATGCTGGGCAGCGAGAGATGCCAGGGAATTAATTAGCGTGATCTTTAGCGTCTCGGAGCCAGGCGTGCCCTGGGAGACCGCGGCGTCGGGATCTGCCTTAGGGTGCATGGCTCCTTTCCAAGTTTGTGGAATCTTTCTCCATCTGGGATTTTTATCCTTAATGTCCCCCTCCTCCCCACTGCGTTTCTTTGTCACTGGTGGCTGAGATCGGTCCTGTGGGGACAGTCTTGGCAGCCTGACTGGCTAAAATGGAGCGTCCCATTCCCGGGGGAGCCACTGGGACCAGTATTTGTAGGGGCTGGGGCTCTGTGGACTGCTCTCTGCTCCAGTCCAGGACCATCTCCTACTGGAGGAAGGAATGACCCTGATCGCTCGCTCCCTGGATGGGCCCGAGGGCCCTCCGCCAGCCCCACTGCCTAACAGCAGGCCCCCTGGGCTGTGCACATGAGGTGTCGACAAGAGGCTGGGCAGGGGCTGGGGACGTGTGGGGCTCTCCCTAGG